GTAGGAGCGCTTCCTGGCAAAGTTGAGTACAGCAGTGGGTGCGGGCATGGCCTGAGCCGGCCTGGTTGGCGTGGGGTTACCAGGCATGGCTGTGGACCCATGCTCTGGTAGGGGAGCGCCTGTGGTCGGCACAGCGAGGGTGGCAGCAATGAGCCACCGAAGCATCCAGGGACCGCGCAGGCATGTCCGAGCGGCCGCACGAGCAGATCCACGTTCTTCAGTACCTGGAGACAGATTATTGCCCGCATGAGCCCATTGCCTAGGCGACCACCAGCGAGTCACAGCAACCCCGCCTGATTTCATGGAGCGGGTAAGGTGCGGTAGTGCTGGAGCCATGACGGCACACAGACAAATCGGAGTCTTGCGTAGGTAGCGCAGCATATACCGGGGCTTAGGCGCAGACACATAGAACAGTGCAACACGATATTCGGAGTGGAGGCGTCCCCAGTCCAGTCCGTTCCGGGTGTTAGTATGACTTGGTCCGGTGCCAGCTAGAGCGGTTGTCCATGATGAAAATAGATGAGAGATCCAAAGCATAGGATGCAGCTTCGGAATACTAGACAGGGAGCCAGCGAGGGCAGTCCCTGTTAGGATGAGACAGTGAGAATGCTCACGCCACGGCTTCCCTCCGAACCCAACAGGTGGGATCTTTGGTTCCAAGAGTGGGCGGCAGTCACTCCCAACCCTCACCCCAATCGACCTGGTAAATACAGGCGGCTTGCCTAATCGGTGAAACCCACACTGGTTGCTCAGTATGAATTGGGTAGGTCGACCCCCGGCTTTGGGACCGGAGAGGCTCTGCATTGAGAAATGGAGATGTGTTGGCAGTTTCTCTTTCTTATATGGACCGCATGTGACTACAACATCAGCGTGATTGTGTCTAGCACACCACATCTGAGGGGGGTACGAGGCCTGTGCTCCGGTCCTATGAGCCTCGTGGGGCTCAATTTCCGTGCAGGAGGGCCAGGCTTCAGTCCATGGCCTCAAGGTCAAGGATATCTGGGATAGCAGGGACCGGCCTGTCCTTGGGCATCTTGTTGCGACAACCCTCTGTAAACGCCCTAGCAGGTCGAGTGGTAGTCGGGCGAAAACTGTGGTAGTGCGATCGACATCCTGCACACCTGGGATTGGCCAGGTAAAAGAGCGAGCCCTTAGATTCATCCTCCTGCACGCACAAGCGAGTAGTGCAGCTGATGCAGTATGAGATGTTTTGCAGCCTCCTGCCAGTAGCGGAGGCAGGCCTGACCCGGTAGGGGCGGCGCAGCAGCAGCAATCTGCTAATTTACCGGCCTCGGATCCTGCTGATCTTACCCAG